TCTTATTACAGATATGAGTATGGTGTACTTATACTATTTACAGGTACTTAGTATAAAAATTAATTACATCTCCAATTCAATTGGTATATTTGTTCTTGCGGTTCAAAAAAGTATCACCGTTATTTTTTATGCCTTGGTTTGTATATAATATTGCTGCAACTATATCAGTGCTCAATCTGGTCCTCAAGTCAGTCCTACACATTTTTAAACTACTAAATATACGTTCTACTGAAGCATTAGAAAATGGCTATATTAGTAATGCCAATATAATTTTTTTTTTAATTGGGAAACTTATATGAACCTGAAGAATCTTTNCAATATAATTTTTTTTTTAATTAGGAAACTTATATGAACCTGAAGAATCTTTTAATTCAAAAACTTTTCCTATAGTTTTCTGGATCTAATGAGAAATCAATATGAAATCAATCCTTATGATCGAACAATGCGTGTTCTCTCCATTCGTTACCGACATTTTGCAAGTTTAAAATAAGTTGAAAATATAACGTTGGAATGAAAAAAATTATCGGAAACATTTTGAATATTTAGCAGCAAATGCAGATGTGCTTAAGAGCGAAAAACACCTTACAAGCGGCTTGACAAACCAAGCGAAATATCTCTTTCCTTAAAGCTATGTATGTTGTGTATGGGGGTGTTTGAAGGTTTGACAAGCCGCTATGTTGACGTTTGATCAAACCGGTTACGTTGTGTTTGATAAAATCGCCTCATTCGCAACGTAATGAGGACGCGAGAGAGGAAGATTGAAGAAAACAAAACCCTTTTATATTGTGAACCGGAAGAAAACTAAAATTCTTTGCTTGAACAAGTCAATGGGAAAAGTAGGTTTGAAGAATGTTTGACAGGCCACTTGTGTGGTGTATTTCGCTCTTTATAAAACTTCGAAAAGCTTTTTGTTTAAAAATTTGCAAAACGATTTAACATTTCTCTTGTGTAAAACATGGCTGCATTTGTTATCTGCAAATATATTGAGAGAAAATTCCTCAAAAATTCTTCAAAATAAAAATGCTCAAAAATACTCAAGCGCACCCGAAATTCCTCACGTTTTNTAAAAATTTGCAAAACGATTCAACATTTCTCTTGTGTAAAACATGGCTGCATTTGTTATCTGCAAATATATTGAGAGAAAATTCCTCAAAAATTCTTCAAAATAAAAATGCTCAAAAATACTCAAGCGCACCCGAAATTCCTCACGTTTTGAGGAATTACTCACAAAGCGGCAACACTGCTCACTTTAAAATGATAAAAATAAATATTTGCGCCAGCCGCGATGCAAACCAGGGTGCTCAAGTTTGTTAAGCGAATACTCTCTCTATGTTCCAACGCCGCACATGAAATTTCATTGACTAAGTGCGTACATATCATTAAATCGTTAATAGTACCCGTAAGGTCTCCATTAGTACGCGTATGAGACTAGTTGCGACTAATTAATGCCCAAAATACATACATATGTACATAGGTTATACAAAGGAAACAGTATTACAAACTAATATAGTGCCAACAAAGAAATAAACATCAACGTAAAAAGAACGAAAAACGAAGTTAACTTTAAGGCGTAAAGCGGACAAGAATAATGTGGGCCAATATCGCGATTTGCAGAAACATTTTTATTTGCATGAGTATGTAAAGATTCTAAAATATTCAATCTATTAAAACTACATTCAGCCGGTCGTATCGTCACAGTCGTGAACCAGCAACTCGTCACGTAAAACTGTAAATATCGGATTATGACAGTCGCGATCGTACTCATGTTATCGTAATTCGGTATTATGATATACATGAGCGAGCAGCTTAACATACTAGTTCGTTCGAACTGTCATTCAATCAACGACTGGCTGTCGTAAACGCGTAAATCTATACAATATAATAAAATTGTAACAGACTGATGTCTTTACATTTTAGATATTAAAGAAAAATTACCATGGGGGGTCTTTATTAGAGCAATAAAATCCAAATCATTAATTTTTAGAATTTTTATCTGTCTGTCTGTCCGTCTGTCTGTCTGTTTGGTTGTATGCGCATCACTCGAAAACTAATGCATGAAATTGAATGCAGTTTTCACCGATGCATTGCTGAGGACTAACTTAAAATATAGGAAGAAAAACAAATAAGAGGGTTGCCCCTGTTAGAAAATTGCACTTTAAGTAAATTGATAAGATAAAGTAAATATTGCTATATGGCTATCTAAAGAAAGAGGTTTCGATACGATACGATACCATATCGGTACTTTGGCATTCGATACCGATATTTTCTACTCGATAGTTTTAAAACGATATTTTTTGGAATCGATTACCACAATCCTAGTATCGTATCGAATGTCATATAGCGTTTTCTTTTCTCAAAAAAAGTTCTGCCCTTTTATGTGGGAACTCTTACTTTGCATTGCCCTGAAACCTCAGAAAATGTGGCGTTTTTTATATGAGAATGAAACAGAAATTATACTACTCCATCACAATTTATTTATAGAACTTAATAAAGCTGAATTATTCACATGGCCTGTAAGTCTTTAGTAATTTTAAATCAAATACTTATTTCTGATACGAAAAATGATTGTAATTTTACAAGCGTAAATTAAAAATCAACCGAGCAACTCTCACACTCACGTTTATTTGAGGGCTGAAAAGGCAGCACTTTTGCCGGATCAGAGCGCAACCTGCTGAGAAAAGAACACGACGCCTTGTGAAAGG